TCCATGTAGATAACTCTGATAACACGCATGCAAGAGACTTTTTGGCTCTGATCGATGTTTTTAATCTGACACAACATATACAGAGCCCTACTCACTCTCAGGGCCATACACTCGATCTTGTTATGACAAAGGGTGTAACTGTTTCCACATCTATAGTGGATTTAGCTTTGTCTGATCACTGCTGTATTTTCTTTGAAGTCTGCTTGCTCCCATATTGTCAGAATAACTCTATTATGATCAGAAAAAGAGCTATAAATGACAAAACTTGTGTTCTTTTTGAGCAAACACTTTGTGAGTCCAAAAGCTCACTTCCTAATACTGCTGATAACTTGTTGGAAGATTTTAATTTAAAAATGACTAATATAATGGATGACATTGCTCCTTTAAAACGGAAAAAATCCACTAAACAGAAAGCTCCATGGATGAATGATCCGCTAGTTAAACTGCAAAAGAAAGAATGTAGGAGAACAGAAAGGAAATGGCGTAAATCCAAACTTAATTCAGATTATCTGATTCATAAAGGGACACTTCGTGAATATAATTCTGTTATTTGTAAAGCTAGACAATCTCATTTTTCCAATATTATCAACAGTAAAGCAAATAACTCCCGCGCGCTTTTTTCCACCATTGAGAAGTTAACAAACCCTTCCCCCCATCTGGCTCCTGAACTACTCTCAGTTGAAAAGTGCAATGAGTTTGCTTCTTTTTTTAAGAGCAAAGTAGAGAACATAAGACATAATATCTCATATACGTCACATAGCATCTCTTACTTTGAATTACCAACTCAAAGGGATCAGCTTAGCACTTTTTCAAATTTCAGTCCTATTGACCTTGACACTCTTGAAAAGACTGTACAAAGTCTAAGCTCTTCCACATCTGAGCTGGACATCTTACCCACTAGTTTTTTTAAATCTGTGCTTCATTTAATAGCAACTGATGTGCTTTTAATAATTAATACTTCTCTTATGAACGGCGTATTTCCCAATTCCCTTAAAATAGCCGTTGTAAAGCCTTTACTTAAAAAGAATAACCTGGATGAGTCTGTTCTTAACAACTACAGACCCATATCAAATTTGCCTTTCATCGGTAAAATAATTGAAAAAATTGTTTTTAATCAAGTGTCCGCATTTTTAACCTCAACCTCCTGTTTGGATCCCAACCAGTCAGGTTTTAGAAAATACCATAGCACTGAAACAGCTCTGATTAGAGTAGTTAACGACATTCGGCAAAATAATGATGCTGGAAAAACCACTGTTCTTATGCTGTTGGACCTCAGTGCGGCGTTCGACACTGTCGATCACAGCATACTTGTAGAAAGACTTAAATGCTGTGTGGGTCTCTCTGGCTCGGTCATCTGCTGGTTAAAGTCCTATTTAGAAGACAGGAGTTTTTATGTTTCTATTGGTCATCATGCTTCAGCTCCAGTGTCCTTAACATGTGGTGTCCCTCAGGGTTCAATCCTTGGCCCTCTTTTGTTTAATCTATACATGCTCCCACTTGGCCAAATTATGAAAAATTATTCTATTAGTTATCATAGCTACGCAGATGACACACAGTTATACCTATCCTTGTCCCCTAATGAGTTTGCTCCCCTTGAATCTCTTTATCTTTGTCTTGATCAAGTCCAAGACTGGATGTCAAGAAATCTCCTTAAATTAAACACAGACAAAACTCAAGTAATTATCTTTGGGAAAAAGGATCAGAGACTAAAGGTTGCCACACTATTGGGAATGAAAGGTTTTGAGGTAGTGGAAACTGTGAAGAACCTCGGGGTCATTATTGACAGCGACTTAAGCTTCAATAGCCACATGAAGTCAGTCACAAAATCGTCTTTTTATCACTTAAAAAATATTGCAAAGGTTAAAAACTTCATATTACCGGCAGACTTAGAAAAGCTTATTCATGCTTTCATTTCCAGTAGGGTGGACTATTGTAATGGTCTTTTCACTGGTCTCCCTAAAAAAACAATAAAATCTCTTCAAATTATCCAAAATGCAGCAGCAAGGCTACTGACCAGGACCAAAAGAAAGGATCATATCACACCAATTTTAAAATCTCTACACTGGTTACCAGTGACTTATAGAATTGATTTTAAAGTTCTTTTTCTTGTTTTTAAAACACTAAATGGTCAAGGACCTCTATATATGGCAGATATGCTTAAAAAATATACCCCCTCAAGATCACTTAGATCTGCTGGTAAACTCGAGCTAGTACAATGCAGCGCTCGTACCAAGCAGGGAGAAGCAGCCTTCAGCTGCTATGCGGTCCGTCTTTGGAACCGTCTTCCTGTAGACATTAAGACCTCCCCCACTATCTCTATTTTTAAATCTAGATTAAAAACGAAACTTTTTTACGATGCTTTCTACTGACTCTTTTTATTTCCTTGTTAAGCTACATGTTTTTATTTTTTGTAATGATTATTTATGATTATTTATTTTTTGAATTTGTGTGTGTGATTGATGTATGTAAATTGTTTCTTAACTGCTATGATTGTGTAAAGCACATTGGGCTACCTGTGTATGAAATGGGCTATATCAATAAACCTGAACCTGAACCTGTAGTTTCAGGCTGTGATTCACATTCACACTCTTGATCTGATGGCAACATTTCTGTGTTTCTCTGTTTCTATCTGCTGCTGTCACTAATGAAGAGAGGATATCAGTGGAAGAGGGAAAGAATCTGATCATAAACCCTGAAACTGAAATACAGAAAGATGATCTGATACAGTGGAGGTTTGGATATGGAGACATTCTCATCGCTGAAATCAGTGGAGGGACTCTAAAAACACATGATGATGCTGATGATGGGATATTCAGAGGCAGACTGAAGCTGGATGAGAAGACTGGATCTCTGATCATCACAGACATCACAACTAAACACACTGGAGATTATAAACTACAGATCATCAGCAGCAGAGAAATCACAAGCAAGAGATTTGTTGTTTCTGTCTTTGGTAAGTAGTTCTTTCGATTTATTTTTCAAATATAGATGAGGTCTTTGTGAAAGGAGATGATCCACTTTGTGTTTTTTGCTCCATCAATGAAAATAGTTTCAATCGAAGCTAAAGCATGAAAAAATATATTAAATGATGTATTTGCAGAGAATATTTTATTCAGGTTAAAACTTGTTCTTAAAGGGTTAGTTCACCCAAAAATGAAAATTAAGTCATTAATTACTCACCCCCATGCTGTTCCAACCCTGTAAGACCTTCGTTCATCTTCGGAACACAAATAAAGATATTTTTGATTGAATCTGAGAGATGGATCACTCCTTCATTGGCTTCCTAAGGGACTGGCTCTTGACGGCCCATAAAGTCATCAAAGAAAAGGTTTAAATATTCCATGTGCCTACAGCGGCTCAATTATAAGTTTATCAAGCGACGAGACTACTTTTTGTGCCAAAAAAAAAACATAAATAACGACTTTATTCAACTATTCTATTACTTCCTTATGGGCGCATGCGCGAGAACTGAGACGAGGACGTTCTCATTCGTCTACTTCTTGTTACCGGCTGCTCACTGCTTAGGAGTTTTATCGCCCCCTACCGTATAAAATGATGATCCATATATAAGGCGCTCCGGATTATAAGGAACACTGTCGTTTTTTGAGAAGATTAAAGGCTTTTAAGTGCACCTTATAGTGTGGAAAATGCGCTAATTGAAAAGCGTATGTACAGCGCGCATCTTCCTCTGCTTGTAAACAAAGTTTTGCGCTTCCAGCTATTTATTAGAGTTACATTTTTTCATTTGCATGTCACTGACAGTTTATACTTTTGACTCGTATACTGTACACACACACACTCTCTCTCTCTCTCTCACACACACACGGTGGTGGCACTATTATTATGAGGACTTTACATTGGCGTAATTTTTTTTTGTCCCCTAAACATAACCCTCACATCATTTTGCATTTTTAAATTTTTCATAATTAGTAGCCCATGTCTATTGTCGTGATCTAGCATCTTCAGCTCCGAATATGGAGACAGAACAGGATCAGAAGGCAAGGCAAGTTTATTTATATAGCATATTTCATACACAGTGGTAATTCAAAGTGCTTTACATAGAAGAAATTAAAATAATCTAAAGAAATCAGAGTAATTAAAACAGTTTCGAATAAAAAAATAAATAAAATAAAATACAGTAAATAAAACAATTTAGAATCAAAATAAAATGAAGTACAGTAACAGTCGGACGAGCAGTCTGAACATGCTGGAAAATATAAACTACGGATCATCAGCAGCAGAGGAAACACAAACAAGACCTTCATAGTTTTTGCATGTAGTGAGTATTGTCGTTCAGTTTGATATTTTAGTGATGTTTCCCTTACTGTTTTTACAACAAATGAAATGAAAACAACGAGGAATACAACAACTAAACTATAATATTGTATGTCATGTTATTGCTGTGTTTATTTTCTGAATTATGATTGTAAAGCACACAGGTTTTCAGACTGTGCTCCAGGGCCCCTGAGAGGCAACAAGGGGTGCTTGTTTATAACATCACTATTAATGTTGCTCATATATAGTATTTTAGGATCATGATGGGATAAGTATATATGGGGATTCTTGTTATCAAAAAGTTTGAAACCCCCAGAGTCAGATCTGGTGATACTTTCGTTATTTTAATCATTTCTTTATTTTCATTTTATTTATTGTGTTTTGTGACGAGTGTATGTGCGTTTCTCCTCGGGGTTCATTCCACAAAACAGGATTTCTGATTGTAAATATTCAATATGTTGGATATTAACGATTATTTGAGATCGGTGCGACCCTGACGTTCTTCAGAGCAGATTCAGTCTTAACACACTTCACACCACAGGAAAACCTGACAAGATCATCTAGATCCATCAAGATAATTATCGTACTTGGATGGGGAGAACTGGGCCCAAAATCGACCTGATTATCTTGTAGTGTGTGTTCAGCTTAAGTTCTGAAATCTAGACTAGTACATTTCTCTTTTTAATATCTGTCATTGTCTGTGTATTTTCTGGCTGATTCCTCAGGAAACCGAGTGAATGATACGACTATAGAGATGCCGCCGGTGAATGAAGAGGATCTGGATGAAGAGAATGAACAGGAGGGGATGAGATTACTTGTGGTGAGATAAGACACACCCACTAGTGTCAATCACTCTGACATCATCAACATTTCAGCTCCAGCTACAACAACAAAACACATTTCTGCTTATATGAGCCTTAAAGTGAGGAATGAAGCCGTCTGTTGAGCTGTTAAACTTGTAAAAAAAAAAAAAGCTTCTTTGGTTTCAGATGAACAGGGAAATGTGTTTATCAAACAGTTTTATATGTTGTTTTTATAATGTTACGCTTCATATCTGTTACTCTATTAACATAATACTCATCTGACTTTTACAGATTTTATTTTATGTGATTGCAAGTTTAAGTAATTATGCTTTTTATAATTGCTTTGCCACAGCAGTATTTCTATAACCTGTGAATGTGGTGTTTTATGTAAATAACACCAGTGCCAGATTAATGTGGATGTTCAGCATTGATCACTGAGATCACATGACCTTTGTTACACTTTTATTGTAAAAAAAAAAAAAAAAAAACGAATACAACTACCTAAGTTGACATTCTTTAATATTGTTTTCATAGAAATCTTAGATGTGTGCCTTATTTTGCTTTAGTAATTATACTTCAATAAGGGTCTGATCTGAAGTGAATCTGTTCATCTTTCAAGCAGATGTGAATGTCAGATTTTATATGTGAAGTGAATTTATTTGTATTCATGCTGAAGCACTTAAAAATGACTCTTGTTGCACTTGTAATAATAACAAGAAGAAGAAGTTTTACTCTTGTTGCAAAAAAAGATGGAAAAATGCCTTTGCTCAATCCTAGAACTTAAACTACAACCACATCGTGTTGTTTTATTAATTTTGCTAAAATTATCTGCTTGAGGAATACATGTTCATGTTCGATGCATGTCTCTGATCGTATGTCGATGTCCTCTAGTGGAGAAACCCTTGTTTTGCTTCCTAACATCTGTTTTAACAATATGTGTACCTATATATTCAATATTAATAAATAATAAAAAGGTCAAATTGTGTGAAATGTGTGTTGCTTCCTTCTGTACTGATCAAATTTTGATAGTACATTAAATCTGAGCTTATACAGTGAAAAATAAAATACCTTAAAATATTCTCAAGTTGTGTTAATCATAACTGCAAACACCCAGAGATGAAATGGGACCGCAAGATCATATGTTGTTCAACTAGCTGAACTTGGTGATAATAATAATGATTTTGTGTTCAAATTTGTCTTGTTATTAAAAAAAATAAAAGTACGAGTTTTTTTTTTTTTCATTACAATTCAAGTTCGGCATGTTCTTCTTCAATAGATGCACTTCCTTTTTTGAGCACCAGGTGGCAGTAGAAGCCTCGAGGGAAAAAAAAGCTTTGAGGAAAGAACCCAAATTTATACACTTTTTGTATTAAAAACCTCCCTCATTACTTTCGTAATTTGTGTCCGAAACACTAATTAATAGCCACAGGAATGCTAGTTAGTTTCCATAACAGTGCGTTTAAGGGCCTTATCTTGAAAGCAGGTTGTGTATTACTTAAATATCAGGAATTATATAGGATTATATATTAGGATTAACAAAAGTCTGAGATCAGAACATGATTGACCTGTTTAAAAGAGGAGTGACTAACATATTTAAAGGGATAGTTCACCCCTAAATTAAAATGATGTCATCATGTCACTAATAGGGGCCTATGACCCCTCAATGTGTCTGACGGAGTGATGTCCAGATGTGTGGTCTGGTTGCTGATGGGATTCATCCTATTGATTAAATAAGACATTTCTCAGGCAGTAAATGTGGATCTTTTAGAATAATTTAAGGAGCGCTGGTCTGTTCTTGACTCTGTCTCGCCGTGCCGTGCTCTTGTCTTGATCTCAATTATCTCAACCCCTCAAAAGTCTTGGTTTGGTCTTGATCTGGGGTCTGTACCATGATGGCAGTTGAACAAACTCAGGATTACTGGACTAGTTTCACGTTTACAAAACCAAACCAATCCAACCTTTGTTGGTCACATTCTGATCATCAACTTTCTCCGTCAACTCGGGCTTTGATCCTGAGTTTAGGAGTGACATCAGTAGCGAACAGCCAATCAGATGCTGAGAAAGCAAAATATAAAAACTGAATGTTTTGCACCGTTTCATGCTCAACAACTAGTTACAGCACCTTTAGGCCTCGACACAGACGCTTCTAGATACAGTTTGACGTTTTTGTAAGTTTCATATGAGCAGTGGATAAGAAGCCTGTTATCATTGAATAAACTAACGATCACCAGTGAGAGTGCCCGGGATTACCATCATAGGGTTCTCCACCAGGACAATACACATCCACAGATTTCCCATAATCCTGTGTTCAGACTCACCTGTGTCTCATTACCATGGTTAACTCACACTATAATAGCCTGGTTTTCACATTCATTCCCTGCAAAGTCTTGTTTAGTGTTTGTACTGCAATTCTGAGCATTCTGTTTGTTATTCCCATGATCTTGTTTTTGACATATTGCCTGTTTTCTGGATTACGTCTTTGGATTACCCTCTGTACAATAAAACTTCATTTGGATCCTCAACCTTCGTGTCTCAGAGCCGTAAGTGACATAAACGAGGACACACATCTTTAAAATGATTCAAAAGCAGCCCAAGATTAGATGTTAAGTTTATTGAAAATATTGTTTGCCATTGCAGATGTTAAAAGCTGATAAATGGAGGACGTTCTTCTTTCATCTTCTCAGTTTTTCCACTTATCCAATGTACTGAAATGAACAAAATGACACAAGAAATTTTAAATGAAAATCGAGTATTATAAGACACAACAATTGCATTGATTGCTTGTTAGTTCCTTATGTAAATATTTCTAATGTTTTATTATAATGGTGATATAATTGCACTTACTCCACTGATCCAGCTGCTGAAGGCAGACACACGAGTGAAGACTGTTGGCTTCTGGTAGGCATTACAACCCGATGATGACACAAAGCTGGTCACACCATGGACGACGTACTGACCGCTGACCTGACAGTTCAGAGGACCACCAGAGTCACCCTAAAAACAACACGATGGGAGACAGAATTAGACATTTACTGCAGTATGAAAGAGTTCATGATCTATTTGACAGCCAGTCTTTCTCACCTGGCATCCAGACAAGCTTCCGCCACCAGCGCACACCATGGTGTTCTTCACCGTGCTTCCCCACCAGTCGCTACGAGAGCAGGTGCTGTAATCCACCACGGGCAGGTAGGCCTGTTTCAGCTGAGCGGAGAGTGACCCACCAGCTAAATAAATATCACATCCATGAGAGGAAGGAATCAGGAATCATGCAAATGATTTTAGTCAACGTCAAAGCTCTCTGAAGTGAGACTGACTCTGAGTGAGGCCCCAGCCGGTGATGTAACAGTTGTTGTTGTGGGGCAGAACCTGTCCAGAGGGAGGAAGGCTGGCCAGCTGAACGTACGTGTTCAGAGTGGCATCAGAGGACAGGCGCATGAGAGCGATGTCATATCTGAAAAACAAAGAACACACACCACAGAGGCACAATTCATTTCTATGGGGAGCTATAACTTTAGAAAATCTTTAATATTGTCATGTTGTGTTGATGATAAAAGTCCAGGTAGTCATGCATGAAACTTGTGTCAAAAATTCAATACAGTCTCCATATATGCTTTGATATAATGTGTAATTGCATGTGTAGCATTAAAGTTAAAGCATAATTTTGTTGATATATGATGCGTTTAAAATAAGGTAACACTTTATGTTAAGGTGACATAGTAGTTACATGTTACTACTTGTAGGCTACTTTTATATTACTACTATAGTAATTATTAATACAATTGTGCTGCGTACCTTTAATGGCCGATAAATTACAATAAAGGTACGGTATTCACTTTTTACATTTGCGTTACTCACGTATTTTATTGTAAATGACTTGGTAATATAGTGTTGTTTGTGTTTCTTTGTATAATTGATAGCCTACAGTCGAGTTGTTGTGTTAAAAGGTATAGGTGTAATTATCTATGAAGACTTCAGATGCAAAAGCCTATGATTGCCATCTGAAATTTTCTTCTAAAATTAGCATTTTTATCAAGCTCGTATATTTAAATTCGGTAATTTCACTTTATAGGTCTAGGTCATTTTCATTGCCATCAAAGTGAAATAAATGAACAACTTGAAATGATCATTAGAAGATGATAAATTGATAAAAACCGATCATTAGAAGAAAATATCAGATGGCACTTCATATATTCTTCATATATTGTGTAACTGTCGCCACAGTCGTGTATGTTTTGTATGTTATATAGGCTACGCACCCAGCAGCCACATTATTGCTGTTCCAGTTGGGGTGGATAATGACTTGACTGACGGTCATGTACTGCTCGCGACCCTCTTGGCTGTAGATGTCGTGGTCGCCCAGGACGACACGCCAAGTTCTCGAGCTGAAACACATTCAGAAACGCATAGGTAAAGTAAGGAACAACTGAACACTTTTTGTTTTATAGTGGGTCATGATTAAATGCGAAAAATAGACAAAATTTCGAAGAGTCTGTATGGTTAATACACAGCTGTCTGCGTCCTGTGTACGAGTACAACCAAAAATATTTCATAAACACATTTAAAGTGTACTACATATGCCGCGAGAGGGCGAACTGCGCTACTCCCATGAGGCGCGCGCGATTCAGATCAATACAGCAGCGCCATCTTTGATTTTAACGGAAATAAAGCGTCACCGTGAGGGTCTGGAATCATCTCTTCAGTCAGTGGTTTGTACTGTTATTTAATGTGTTTTTGGACTGTTTTATTGATTAAACACAGCAAAAAGATCGTTTGTAAAACTATCTCACAACATGAGCTATGGAAATTTATAAGTGGGAGCTTTATACATTTCTTTTACAGTGGAAAACACGGTCTAATGGCTCACAGCCTTGCTTTTATTCCTGTCATGGCGGTGCTCTGAATAAGGTCAAGTCAACTGTCTCTTCAGGACAGCAATGGGAGTTGGGCAAGGCCGTAATGGAGGGGTTTTACTTCGATAATATTTCGATTTGCCCATGTCACAGTGACAGTAGGGTTTAGGGGTGGGGTCAGGTAAAACCCATAATTTTCATTGCATGATTTAAAAACACCGACCAGTTCACCACACATTTAGAAACGCCCACCATTGTTCTGCAGACACCTCAAACTCCTCCATATTCATTCTCATCATGTGATCTGTCTCAGTTTATCATGTGTTTCTGTTGTTTCAACCATTTAGATACAACAACAAAAAGTGGATTCATTACGTGTCAACGCAGTGGGCGGCGGTCATCACCCAATTCCTTCTGACCAGACTCCCACCGCAGGTGTGATAGTAGCTGCCGCCGGACAGGTACTGGAGAGAGATCTGAGGAAGAGGTTTAGTTAGGATATGAAAGGATTATGAATTTCAATGTGAGTGGTGTTTATTAAACTTAAAGTGCCGATTGGACTTTTTTAACGTTGGAAAATGCTGTTTTAACCAGCTTTAGGTTTTACTAGGTATAAAGTTGTAAATATATGACAAATA